CCGTGACAATGACGGTGAGCCGTTCTGAAGCGGAGCCAGACATCACTCCCCAAGTTCCTTTGCGTCTGGAGGAAAACCCTGGCCATTGTCCGTCTTTCTGCATTTCAGAAGCAGTGTTCTAATTCCTGACTCTTTTACGTTCTTGTGGCAGTGAAACAATTGGACTTGTTTGGTAAAGTGATGGGAAGTAAATGATCTGTGTCAGGAACACTTAAGACCCCACAACACACTCCTGGCATGTCATCTGATCTGGGAGTCCGAGCTACTATTCTAAACCTGGAGCTGGGGTGTTTCGTATTTATGAATAATCATTTTCTTATTTATTTTTTGCAGAGAATTCTATAATTAAAGAAATATTTGTGGAATAAACTAAATCACTATTGCATTGTACAGGGTTCCAGAGCTGTTTAGCATCTTTTCTGGCAACTGTTGTATCATAAGAATATTTTCATTTTTTGTATTTGTATATCTGGTTGTTGATTTCTTTTACTACAGAACATACTGGACACCTGCGTCAGACCTAAAGAAAAGTTTTAAGTTTGGCGTCTATCAATAAAACATCGTGGTGTCTTTTTGATGTTTTTCTTTTTATTTGTCATCTTTGCTTTGTACGGTAAACACAGAAGGATAACAAGTCATGTTACAGTTGGATTCATGTTGTTTTCCCTTACTTCAGGTTAATTATAACAGCACAAGAGGATTAAGCACTCAGATGATGTCAAAACAGTATAGCCGGCTGTACTGAACATCATACTCTGGGACTGCAATTAAAAGAAGACTTCAGAAGCATTTTTAAGAATAATATACGGTCCAATTTTCACTGAATGTGCACGTCTGGAGCCGAATTTCACAATGACTGTAAAAGGCCAGGCTGCTGTGGCCAAATGTCAGTCGTCTCTTAAAACAGTCATACAGAAACATTGAGTAGTTTATCTTCGATGTACGCCTCCGAGAAAAGAGTGCTTAGGCTACATCTTACAAAATTTCCCCGGTTTCTCAATCGCTTCGCTCACTCATTCTTGTCTAATCCACGGCCTACAGCCCAGCAGGCCTCGAATACATTGAATGACCAATAATTCCTCTGGTTTTTCAAACTTGCTGCCAAAGATACATAAACAGTTTGACCAGCAGAGGGCAGCGTATGACAATGAAGCAGGTGGTGTGAGAGCTGTGCCAACATGGAGCATTCTGGATGTGCGTGTAGTTCTTGCGTTTAGACAAGGATTGGTAATCCACTCCGCATCTAATGCAAATTAAATTAGAATCCGCTTTTGTCGTGATCGTTTCTTAAACAATATAGAAATAAAAAAAGTTACAAGCGGTACCAGAGCTGAGAAGAGAAAAGGGGGAAAAGATCAGTCTGCTTGCAACACCTCAGAAATGTTGGGGTTCTGGCATGTGGATTTTGCAAGTTACGGACAAACTCATTTCAAGTAAATTTGCACTTGACATGATCTGATATGGATATTAGAATTAGAAAAAGGTATATACATTCCAAATAAGGTTTTACAAAAATCAGAATTTCAAGTGCATAATGAGTAATAAAGCTTAGGTAGGTGTTTTGGAAAGCACGCTGTATAGCAGTTTGATGGACAGTTAGTGTTGCAGCGAGACATGAGCTGTACCCCGATGAAAAGAGTATGAGAAAAATTGAGGGATCAACTGGCCACCCGCTGTCCCCTCCCCCCTGCGCATTCTTCAGAGCCATCCCAAGAGGAATGTTCAATTACCACCAGCATTCCAGAGCAGCTCTGCATTCTCAGGAGCTGGTCTCCCTCTCTCCATCTCCGGCTGCTCGGACAGCGCGCTTACATAACCAGCCTCCTAATGCACAGCGGCCTCCTCTCCCCAACACTGGCTGCTTTCCTAGCTTCAAGATAAACACTAAGTTTCACTGGCAGACGTGTTGGCTAAAACAAAATCCACTTTAAACTGCAGAATCTGGTTGGTCTTAGTAGGGGTATGATTAATAATAGCACGAAATGATGAGCTTCTACAGTCAGGAAGTCATTTCTTTAAATCGGATTGTGGGAAAACAACGCTGGCTTTTGCAGTACCATTCTGGGTGGCTGAACCTTTAAGATAAGATCACTTTATTGGCCATATACAATTTTTTGTATTAGGAATTTGTCTTTTCACATACCCAGCTTGCTCTCCATGAGACACACAGACAGGGAGAGGAGCTTGGGGTCAGAGTGCAGGGTCAGCCATTTATACAGCACCCCTGGAGCAGTTGGGGTTAAGGGCCTTGCTCAGGGGCCCAACAGAGTAGGATTCCTCTGCCAGCCATGGGATTTGAACCGGCAGCCTTCCAGCCATAGGCGGAGATCCTCAGCCGCAGTGCTACTGCTGTTGTGTCAGCCGAGACTGGGCTTTTAAAAATGTGGCTGTGTAAAATGTTGAAAGGTGAATCTAATCAATATGTTTTGAGTCTTTAGCATATTTATGCAATCGGTTTCAACACCCTGTGTTCTTAGCCTCCACGGTCAAGTTGAAACCTGATCATGGATCAGCATGGCGACTCAATGCCCAAACATGCTCTCAGCCCCACCGCCCTGGCTTGTGCCAGCATTTTGTGTCTGTTATCTGGGTGACCAGCACAATAAACACATCGTGTGTTCAGCGGTCCCAGCCAGACCCCAGGCTGCAGGGCTGCAGGGGCTGATCACAAAGCTTTTAAACCACAGCCCAGTGCCTGCAGCCCAAGCTCCCCCTTCCTGCAGCCATCTCTGCGCTTCCACATCTGGATCTCGTTGAGCCCTTCCCTCCTTTTCCGATCTTCTCCCCCCGAATGAGTTCTGCACGGAGCCGGGCCACTTTGACAGCTGTCCGTCTGTGTGCTGCCTCTCGAGCACGGGCTCGTCCTGGGGTGTCAGGGTAGCGGGTGGGATCCCTGGCGTGTGCCCCCCTGTGACAATGAGCAGCGCTGTCCAGAGAGCCTCACAGCGGGCGGCGAGCAAGCCCCGTGCTGCCCAGGCTGCAGGCTGGGGGTGGGGAACAACGCAGACCCAGACAGCGGACACTCCCTCCCGGCTGTCAGGAGCCAAGGGAATGATGTCATTTCCTGCCCAGCTCCAGCTTGGCAAAGTCCTTGTGTTTCCCCAGGAACAGCCTCTAATGTGGACGGCTGTGGCTACGAGGAAATGTAGAAAGAACAAGGAGAAAAACTTCCACCTAAAGGTACTTTACAGGGATAGTCAGCCTAGTCACAGGACTCTCTGGAGCACCTTACACACTGAGCCGATCTCCTGGGATCCCTCTGATTTCCCTCTTACGTGTTTTTAGCTCATCAGATCTGGAGAGGGAGCTGAAAGAGCAGAGCTCAGACATCCCGTCGGTAATCAGGTTCTTTGTGGCTGGTGTTGCAGGGATAAGTGGCTCCCTGTAGTTCAGAATTAACCAATGGTCCTGTGGGGCTTCTGCACCATGTCTACATATTGCGCCAGGGCACTGGAGTGGTGCTGGGAGTATGTTTCTGGCTGCAGAGTTAAATCAGACTTTGTCTCTGAGATCCACCACTTTGCCCCTCTCTCACCTGAGCTTTGAATCCCTCACTCTTCTCAACCTTGACAAAAACAAACTCTTAGAGTCTGAAACTCCCCTCCCCCTCCCTGCTGTGTCAGAGGTGCAGGCATGCTCTTGCCACAACAAGCAGTCACCTCTGTAATCCCTTCTTCTAAAAACACAAACCCACCTTTTCTCCCAGGCCAGGGGGCTAATAATAGTCTTGTCTGCATTGTGCATGAATCATGGTCTGGCTGGAGGAAAAGGAGTGTGGGGGGGTTTCCCATGCTGTGACATCACCCAGGTCTGGTCGAGTGAGTCAGGGGGGTGCAGAGAGGAAGGAGTTTTCTATTTACCCTGCGATGAGCACAGGCTGCCTGCAGGAAAGAGCCCAGAGTCTCGGGTGTGCCCCTCGCTCCTTTACAGTCATGGGGAATGGGACACTGTAAGGGTGTGCAGGGGTGCAGTAGTGGGGTTCTGTGCAACAGAGTGGATTTGACGCAACTTGCTAAAACAATTCACATGTCAGTTTCACTACAAAGAAGGTGGAGGGAGTCAATGTTACTTTTTTAAAGCTGCACTATGCCAAGGTGTGGGTGGCAACAGAAAACACACTGATGCACAATAACGATGCAGAAGGGATATTTACGTTTTAAACAGTGAGAAGATGGGCTTGTTGTTTGTTTCAATCGCGTCATTCCTTGGGACAACAAAATACAAATCGCGTGTTTTTGCTCCAGTGTTTGGAATTTGTGTTGAATCACCAAAACGAGTTGATGAGCCCTTCAAAAGATTTCATTTGAATTACCACCACAACGGGGAAAGTTAAAACTGTGAGCCCCTCGATGAATGAATAAAGCCAGATTGCTATCAGCGTGACTGGAGGTGGCCTGTCTGTGAGAGGGGTTGTCTTGGATCTGATATTTTCAGACGCAGCAGCCGGCAGACTGGTCCAGAGGATCCAGGAAACAGCTCTGCCAGGGACAGCCTCTGACAAGCCTTGCAGGCTGTTCAAGCTAGCAGGTGAAGGCAGGGTGTGGGCGATGGTGTGGGGAGGAATCTCCTGTCCCACAAGTAGCCCTGCAGCGCAGATGGGCTGCAGGACTGCAGACGGAGACCGTGAGCCAGCAGCTTTTTCCATTGCTGTGTGCATTTCCCAGGACCGGACAATGCAAAGCCACACATTGCAGGATTGTAATGGCGCGACGTCAAGAAACAGACACCGAGGTCATGACGTGGCCAAAAGAACATCTGTGGGACCAACTCACCAATACACACCGAGAGGAGACGACCATCACAGTTGCACAGGACCAGCGGCCGAATGTCCCCCAGGCGTCTGAATGCAGAAGCTGAACAGGCCACTGCTCCAACCCATTACAGTACTAACTTTATCGTGTTTCATATGGAAAACGTGTCATGGTTCTTTGAGCTGTGTTCGTGCTCCTTCTCATTAAATCCGTTTACAGTGTTACAGTGTTTGGTTAAAAGCGGCTGTGAGTCTCGCATTTCTTTAGTGCACCGGCTGCACGCAAAACTGCATTCTGGCTCACAATGCGCAAGTTAACTGCCATCATTTTACGGTGCAAAGGAAAAGTCAAAAGTGTTGAATTTGTCTCTTTCTATTCCTGCTCTGAGTAGAGATTCTTCAGGTCTGTCCTTTGGCACAGGACTTTAACTCGAAGCATCTGGATACTGGCACATCCGCTGGGGCAGTTTTTGCAATGATTATAACAAAGACGGGTTTTTGGAGGGTCTTCAAATTGAATCCATTCGCTAAGAAATTAGTTTGTCTGTCTGCAAACAATGTGGGAAGTCTTTTCATCCAGAAGACAGGATTTCACATTGAGTCGACCTTGTGGTATATCCTGCTATTGTTTCGGAATGCTGAGCTGCAGGCTTTTTGATTCATTAGAAAGCCATGAGGACTAGGAGTCTGACTGGAAGCAACGCTCATTCTGCCCAGTTCCTAATTAGGTGCTCCAGTGCAATTTCCTTTGAACATGGCAACCACCAGACTCATTATGGAATAAATCTCTTTTAGTAGGAGGTTAGCAGAGACCTTGGAGGTTGGGAGAGAGGTGAAAGTTTGCCCTGGCAAATTACAGAGCACGGGAATGTACTGCAGGTATGTCTCAGAGACCTGGAATTAAACCATCTGGCACCAGAATGAAACAATGTTGCAATCACAACTATTTTTCCTCTCTTTACGTGTGTCAATGAATGCACACTCATGTACAAACCTGTGGTTTTCCAGAGAGGATGTGTTACCCAGGAGGTTTCCTTTGCAGTAACCAAGCAGCCGCAGCCCAGACAAGAGCCTGTATTAGCCCACTTCCAGCGGGTGTGCACTTGTTGCCCGCTGTACCGCCAGCAGCACAAGTCTTCACTAAATCATCAAAATCATCGTTCTGATTGGGAATCACTGGAAGTGCTGCAGTGAGGCATCTCTGTCATGACTTCAGCACTTTCTTTAACCGCAGTTAAAGTAACAACCGTTTTTTAGAAAGGTTTTAAAAGGAATTACAATGAACGGTTGAACATGACTGTGTTTTTTATGCAGGACAGGACGCCTGATTTAAAAATTGGTCTTCCAGGTGAAAGATTTGTGGCCGATTATGCCAATGCAATCTATGATTTGCTTCCAAAAGTACGGTACCAGGGAACACGTGAATCATTGTATGAGTTAGAAAACTGGAGAACTATGTAAAGGATTGGTGCAATCTGATAACTGAAAAGACACATGAATGAAGTACCTTTGAAACATGTTTATATACAAATTGCCCTTCCAGAAGATGAGTGAATATCTTTTATACCAGGTTGGTTGTGGCGTAATCATGTTGCAGCATCATCTACATTAGATCCTCTCAGATGTCCGGGGAGCTTTGGGGCCGTTCTGTCTGTGTAAGAGGAGGGATGTGGTAAAGCCTCTTGCAGCCAGAACTGTGTGTCCTGCTGGTTTAATGTTGGCCTTAGCAGCCTCCTTTAACTGCCAGCTACACCCTGCTGCTTCTGCCCTGAGGCTGTCTGAATGGAGACCTCAGCCAGGTCTGCTGTTGCCTTACGCGGTGTGCCAGTGATGTAATCGGCAGTCAAGTCTCTTATGATGTCACTGACATCAAACTTCTTTCCCATCGGACAAAGGAAAAGGCCTTGTCTGCTACTACAGTACTTCAACAGTATCAGTGCATTCACAGAACACAATTTTTTGTAGGTCGCAAGCCTTATTAAGACATATTACACCCCTTTTTTAATGAGAAATATTAAACTGAATAATACTAGTATCCACAACCCTGAACTAGTCACATAAAGTGTCATATATTATACCATATAGATGCAGACGGTTTTTGTATGCCAGCTTGCCTGTCCCCACACAGAGACACACGGGTTACTGTAACATTAGAGATGGAGTGAGTCACAGTAAAGTAACAGTACCTTTATACTGTACTCCTAATGACACTTATTCCCCCTGCCTGGACTCTATGTGCTTCTGATTAATAATTTATTGACACTTTTCTAATAGACGTATTATTTCTTAATATGTATATTGTTACAAATGGGGTGGGACAGATATTTTAAAACAATGACACAACACACAACAAAGCAATTGACATAGAGGTTTAATCAGTGAAATAATTATTTATAACCCACCAACTTGTATGTGATTTCTAACAATATACCCCAGCTGGTATAACTAGAGGCACACCTGAATTCTTTATTCTCTGGCACAGCTTTGTTGAGAGGAGTAATAATCCAGGCACACTTAGTTAAAACAGATATTACAATAAACTACACAAGACACAAAACATACAACACACAAAGTTACATTATATTCAGAATTTACAGATAAGGCGTTTCAGAGGCCTAACATTCTGGTCACCCAGACAACTCCAGACTGCTACTAATGCCTACAGAGGCCTCACAAGAGGTGAGCTGCCTTCTAACTACATACAAAGCAACCTACAGTTAAGTCTCTCTCTCTGCGCCTTGGATGCCACAAAATAAATGGGAGCATATATCCCTATCCATAAAATTCACCCTAATCAGGAAAGATGTTTCTAACTGAGGTATCTTTTACCCAGGAAACCCAAGTTCCCTAAAAACACTGATAAGGTTCAACTACTCAGTTCCAGTCAGTTTTGGTTTGGATGATCAAGAGGTAGGGGCACTCACTTGGCACAAGCTTCAAGTCCCAACTCCTCCGGACTCCTCTCTTCTCCCTGCTCTCCTTGTTTCTCCTCCTGCTTCTCTTCTCCTGTGCTCTTAATGTGAACTTAAACTGTGTCTTTCTGCCTTGCTCCTTTGCAATCATTAATGCTCAACTTGCCTAGACATACTAAGATGAACTTTACTATTATTTACTATTCTTGTTTCTGCTCAAGGGACTCCCCAGACCTCAGCAAACATCCTCTCTGCTTTGAAGATAGAAGTATTTACTCTTCCCAGTGTCACAAACTTTATCATGTCTCAACCACCTGAGCTGTAACAAAACATTAACAAAAATATTGTCCCCAATAATTGGTTTCATCAAGTGACCTTATAGAGTAGAGAGGTTATTAAAGGGGTGAAGGAAAGGTAACATATTTCTGCTTTTATCTGAATTATATTTCAGTAGGTTTCTAAATTTAAATTCTCCAGTTTAAGAGAAAACGAGTGTTCTTTACTGAGAGAGCTTAGTGTTTTTTCCAACTTGATTTCCCTTATTTATAGGCTTATCAAGAGGATGCCCAATTACCAACGTTAGTAACATTAGGACAATCACTCTGTGTCTGATGTCGTTTTATGGCTAGTGGTCTTTTGCAAAACAAAAATACAAAACTTTGCATACAGGTTCCCCAGTGGACCCAACAAATCTGTACTGAACAGTGGAAGTCACCTTATTTATGTGATTCACGCGGATTTCAGCTTCTGCTTCTGAGATCTGATTAATCCCACAAGTGTCCCTTACCATTACCCCATTACCTGTAAAGCGCTTTGAGTGGAGTGTCCAGAAAAGCGCTATATAAGTGTAAGCAATTATTATTATTATTATTATTAACAATTTCTGGTGCCTTGCAAACCCTGTTCAGTGACAGAATAAACTGTTTGCTATAGACCACAGCTCTTTCAACTCAATAAACACAGAGGTGTCCATTACTCATTATAACAAAAACACACACAAAAAACTACATTCTGTTCCTTTTCCTTCCTCTAAAGAGTCTTTGTTTGAAGTGACTCTAAGACAATGGCAGAGATTTGGTCCCAGGTAAAACTGTAAAGGAGAACAATCAAAGTTATCTTTTACCTAGACAATGCTGGGAATAGTAGGGTACACATGGTCTCCAATGCTTGGAAGGCACTGCTGCTGTAAACCTGAGTCCCTGTTTGGCACTTTGACCACCACCACCACCAGTGTGCAGCCCCACCAGAATGGCCCAGCCCTAGCCATAGTGCGCCAGAATGCTCACCACACACCAGCTAATGTATGTATGTAATGAATGTAGCCAATTCATAGAGGGGGATTATTAGGAGGCCATGACTGGTAAGGGCCAATGGGAAATTTGACCAGGACGCTGGGGTAACTCTTTTCGAGAAACGCCCCGGGATTTTTAATGACCAGAGAGAGTCAGGACCTCGGTTTTATTTCTCATCTGAAGGACGGCGCCTGTTTACAGTATAGTGTCCCCGTCACTATACTGGGGCATTAGGACCCACATGGACCGCAGGGTGAGGTCCCCTGCTGGCCCCACTGACACCTCTTCCAGCAGCAGCCTTAGTTTTTCCCAGGAGGTCTCCCATCCAGGTACTGACCAGGCTCACACTGCTGAGCTTCAGTGGGCTGCCAGTTGTGAGTTGCAGGGTGATATAGCTGCTGGCATATGAAAGGTGCATTTGAATAGCAGCACTAAACCAACAGATCTAAGGTTTAAATGTGACAAAACACAAACATTGTAAATAGAACCATAACAAGTTTTTAAACTAAACCAGTAATAAAATCAAGAAAATGTTTTGTGTAAATGTCCTTCACTAAGCTCCGTAACAATGAGGCCTAAACGATGGCAAAGGCCGAAAAGCATGAAAAGCAAGTGTCACCGAAAACATTGAACCACAAAAATAGCTCAGGCAGTTCTTACATGTTAAACTGAAACAAAACAACAACAAAACTGTCTTGCATCACACTTCAAGCAGAACAAAACAAAAAAACATGTTAGGACAAAAATGTTAAAAAACATAAGGAAAGTACCAGATATCAACATGTTGTGAACGGCATCATATAACTCAAAATCCATTATCCAGTTTCTATCTTCCTGGGTATCCAGCCTGTCCCTGGTTGGTCCTTTTCAACCAGGCTCCCTGAACGGTACCCTCATGTGAGGCCCAACACAAGAGCAGGCCCGGTTCTCTTCAGCAGCACCGGGGTACCGGGCGTGACGCTGCTCTGGCCCAAATCAATGCCCGCTGGCTGGTTTCGGGACTGCAGTGTGAGCTCCCCATTGGGTTCAAATCGGTGCTGTTGAACCGTGCTGAAAATGTGTGTGGGAGAAATGGTAGTGAGACGGATGCTGTCTGGAGACAAGATGAATTCCGGGTCCTGCCTGTGTTCCTGCTGCTGTGAGACGGGCTCTGGGATGAAGTCCGGGCTCCCCGCTAGCTGGGAGAGCTCGTCTGAGGACGCAGAGTGACCCTGCCTGCTGTCTGTGTCTCTGATGCAGACAGGAGTAGGAGGCGAGACAGCCAGGTGCTTGGTACTGCAGACAGAAGTGTGTCCTTGCAGAGGCATATTATCGTTGCACTGCAAGGAAAAAGTGTCCCTGCCGCACACAGTCTCTAAGATGGCCTCAGAGCAGTTACCCTCCTCTTGCAGTGTCTCACAACTCACCCGGTCTTCGTCTGTAGCCAGGCTGTCGAAAGGGCTCTGGTTTGGGAATGACACAGGCTGCCTGCAGCCCAATTCACTGGTCACTCCTGTCAGCACAGGGACCCCAGAGCTGCTGTCCTCTGTCGGCTGGGGCTCTTCAGTCTCGGCGTGTTGTGGAAGCCAGGTGGGGGTGCAGAAAGCTGAGGGTCACTAACATGTCATCGCAGGGAGATGAAATCGCTGTCTGCTGTGGGCCAGAGGACGTGGGGTGGCAGCAGAGTGACTGCTGGAG